AGTGAAGCACTGCTTTGAAGCTTGGGTCCCAGATGGGGTGTTCTTGTTTACATCAGAAGCTCTCTTGACAGATTCTGATAGTATTTCGACACACGACATTCCATAGAATAAAAAAAGGGACACTTTCGCATGAAAGAACATCATAGTGTGTGGATAATAGCAATTGTATAGTTAAAATATACATTTAAGAAAAATGTTATTTAAAGAATGAAAATACCTTACGGTACGTTTAAATGTATACGTCTTTCGTACCCTTTAGAGTATTCGCTACTTTATTTTATTTCCCAAACGTCAAAATGTTTTAAATAAAAAATTTTTTCACATCCATATATTATTGTAACATGATACCTTTTAAAATTTTTAAAGGAGAGCTTTACTGATGCTCATTTTTAAACCCATCGTTTTTAATTTATATATCTGAAAATACTACTTGGGCTTACACGTTTTATAATATAAAATTATGTTGTTAAAATATTGTAATTAGGCACATAGGTCAGATTAAGTTTTTATTAAATAGAGTAACGCATTCAAGGGCTATCTGCCTAGAGAGAGATGCCATCGTGGAGGAATTTTGAAGAAAAACTGACCTTTGAGGGGTATTAAAAATAATACTTATAATTTTCATTCAAATTATATTCCATATATTTTTATGCAAAACTTTCGGGTGTTGCTAAATTAGTGTAATTACTTTACACGAAAAAAAATAAGTGAATGCACAGAAATTAAAGATTGCACATGCCGGAAATGAAAAGTAGGAAATATGGGTATTTATGCATGTGCTTGCAAAAAGCATGTATCTGCCTTTGACAAATACTTAAATATTCATTAAATTATTATAAATGTATTTGAATGAAGAATTTATTCACTTATAAAAAACTGTGAAGTGCTGTGAAGAATCTAATTATTAAATCTATCTAATTTATAATGACTTTAGATGTTATCTAATATATAATAACCTTAAATTGAATTGTAAACATAAATTGAATCTGTTGCAATACGTTATAAACTATTTAAGCAAGAATTGTTCTATTGGAAAGCAATCTTTTAAGGTATTGTAAAGCAATGCTATGAGATGCGCACTTAAGAACGTATAAGAGTTTTGGATATGTATGTTGAAATGAAGGGTAAAAAAAAATCTGATAATATAATTAAAAGAATTATTCCCCTTATATTTTATAATAACTCAGTTACAAGTTTTAAATAATACTAAAAAAAAATTATTTTATTCCCTTTTCAGAATGTTTAGAGAAAGTCAAGTACTATTTAATACCTATTTAATTTCTAATTTAAACTGAACCGAATAGAGCATTAATTATAAATTGACTTACATTTTTGGATTTAAAAGATGCCTCAGAAGCCAAAAAATCATGTCATATTTAAGAAAGTAGTTTAGAAAGAAGCTCTATAAATAGAAAAGAAATAATGCATAATTTTAATATTATACAATAGGGCCCACCAGCGACCGAGCGGTAAAGTCGCTGAACACTGGTAGTTCGGTCCAAAGTTCGAATCCCACGAACGGGCTGGCTGCATGGGCGTTTTCGTGGTTTTCCCCATGTGTAACGTGTATACGAGCCAGTTTCCCCTAGAAAGTCTTCCACGAAGGCAACCATCCTCTTAGGCAGATAGCCCTCGAGGCTTTGTCATAATCACACACACACATAATAATACAATAAACTTTTATCTTAATTTTTGTACCTTAACCGAATAAAATCGATTACCTTAATTTTTTTTTCAATGTAATAACGAACTTGTGAAAATATTTCATTCCTGTGAAAAGTATAGCATTTAATTCCGTTCAGAATGAAATGTTGTTAAAAATATGTTGTTTTCACATACTTAGGACTCTGAAAGTGTTGTAGAAAAAGAAAATATATACATTTATATGTATATTTACGACGTAATTGCAAAATATTTACATCCGAACGCGTCAAATCCCATAGAACTCAATGGTAAATGACCCAATGTTTTGGTCACCACGTAGGGATCGCCGGTGCTTCAAAGCAGGGTACGGGAGAAACTTGTTTAGGGCGACTCCATCTTACTTCAGGCTCTCTTCTCTTTAACAGCTTTTTCACACAGCTGGGGGCAAAAGAAAAGGAACGCAATGGTTTCCCGCCTGAATAGCCAGCGGTCAGTTAGAAAACTGCATGACAAAAGCCCACAAGACGAATGCTCACTCAAAAACAGCACACATTTTCAGGAAATCCAAATAGCTTGACTTCCTGAAAAATTTTAAGAGTAATAATTATTATGATTAAAAATAAATTTCAAGTGGGATGAAATTAATTTATGTAAAATCCAAGTTGTCAAAATTTAACTAGATTATTTGAAACCGCGCTTTTAAGTCACCATTAAAACAGTGTTTGTGATAGCGCACACAAATGTTTTCTCAATCATAATAGAAAACGGGTACTTTTATTTTTTCTTTGATATGAAAGTTCGGCTTTAATTCTCCATATAAATTCATTATATGCAAATTTTCTGCAGTGTTTAACTTATTCATAAATTATTTCTCTGTATATGATGAAATTTACATACATTTTATACTCCTTATAATTTTGTAGAATAAAAGAAGCAGTGTAACCAGTATTCCCTTTCACCTCCCTTTGTCGGACTTAAAACGAGGACACTTCCATTTGTCGCTTATATAAATTTAAAAAATATATAATTACACCTACATGTATAGGTTTTTAATTATATTATTTTGATTGACTCTCTGTTCTATATACATATAGGATTTTAATTCAGTCGGAACCCAAAATTAAATGTGTCCGCTACTTAAATTTATTGTTCAATCATTTGTTATTAATCTAATTTTTTTAATTTTATCTTTATTCCTAAATCTGCTTTGTGAAGCAGAGGAAATAAAGGAAAAAATATTAATTTTAGCGTAGCATATATATCGGTGTGGGTTTTTGTCAGCGTGCGCTTATATCTATGTGGGTTTTTATCTGTGTGGGCTTTTATCAATATGCGCTTTCATTGGTGTGGGTATTAGTCGCATGGGCAATTATCCCATGGGTCTTTTTTGTAGGCTTTTGTCGCGTGCGCTTTCGTCCAGTGGGCATTTGTCTGGTCACCCAGCGAAACTGATCACTCCTGTTTGCAAATGCATGGAGTACCCCCCCCCCCCATCTGGCAGTGCAAGGATCTGTTTAAAATACGTAGATTATCTCGAATTCCCAGCTCTTAGCGCTCTGACGCTATTCGGAGTCGTGATTGGATCTGAATTCCTACGGGCTTCATTATTCGTTCTTTCAAATTTAGCTCCTACGGAGTGTGTTCCTTGGAGTTCCATTTCGTTTCTTTGAATACTGTGCCATAGTATAGCTATGTATGTTATATTAGGTATTACCTTTTTTATACAATATTACTGTAATATTTATGCAAAATAATAAATTATATTTTATTTATTTACTTATTTTACTAACGTATTGTAATTAAGAACTGCGTATTTCTCTTCAATCTTCTTTAGAATTAGTATATATTTATACACATAAATTTTCCATCTAATGAATTTTTTCAAGGTTGCAGAACAAAATGTAGATCCTACCGAAAAGAAGAACTACGAGCGATATTTGGTATTTTGTCAAACAAGATTTATTAAAAAAAAAAAAATGTCAGCAGACAATTTCCTTTTCTTTAGGATTTGCCTCCAATCTAAAAATTTATTTTCATACTGTGCTTTGTATTATCAACAAAATATGAATTATAGTAATAAAATAATGTAATCTTTAACAAAAGTGAGTTTAGTTTTCATTATTTTTTTAACTTTTAGCACATTTTTATTCCAGAATTTTATTGTTGTTCTATGTAGAAAGGTGTTTTTAGGGAATCTCGAAAATACAGTTGAAAGAAATCAGTCCAGGGAGTGAGCGGTCTGGTTGAGCTGATTCTAGCGATCCCCCTCTTTATTCAAATGTTTCTGCTTTTCCCCCATCCTCGTACACCGCTCTTGATCAATGCCTGTTCCGAACGCATTCATCAAGGTCAATGGTAGTGAGCGGTGAATTTAAAAAAAAAAAATGATTCACTTCAGTGAGCGAACGATTCCGATCTGATCCCAGGAGTTGTTCTGCCCTCACACTGGATGATAGAGAGGAGAAAAGCAGTGATGAAGAGGTATAAGAAGGCGGAAAATCAGAGTAATAGATAGTCAATGTGAAAAGCGACAGTATTTCCGCAGGGGGGGAGGAAGAAAAGAAAAAAAAAAAGGAAAATTCACAATGGATAACGTTTAATATAATAATAATTTGAAGAAGTACCAGCAAAGTATTCGGTTTGCATCCAGCAAAAGGGCCACAGGACCGCAAGTATCTTGAGACATAATTAATTATACGTGAAATTTTTAAATTGTGTGTGATTACTTTAAATTGTACATGAAATCTTAAAATTGTGTGTAAAATGCTGTAAGGGTTCGCCCGAGCTAAAAGAGGATTAGAAGCCGAAATAAAGAAGAAATTTTATCTGGTTGCAAAGAATACTGCTTAAAATAATTAAATTTTCATATCATTTGTTTCGTTATTCCTAATTTATTCACCTAACATTTGTTTTGTTATTTTATTTCATTTTGATGATTTTTCTTAAATTTATTTAGTTTATTTAATTTTTAAGAAATTTTATAATTTAATTTTTATCTATTCATCATTAATTCAATTTATTTATTTTTGGTCATTGATCCCGATGGGCTCCGGTACTTGGTACTTCCTATTTCAAAAATTAAGCCGTGATCATTTTCGGTTAAAGTGGAAGAATTATTTATCTTCAAATTTATTATTTATCACAAAGTTTTCAGTTTTTAAATTTCACTTTCTTAAACTGGCACTGATTTTAAGAAATGTTGGTGAAATTATTCGGGATAATTTTGTTTCATTACCTGAAGAACAGAATCATAGCTTCTTAAAATACTTAGATCACATCTATAAAACTAATGTCAGTTTAATGTATTTTTCTTTACTTAAAACACGTTAATCTCATACATGTTTTTATTTTTGTAGCTCTCTCGGCTATGGTTTCGGTCTTCAGCTGGACTGTCCAATACTTAACAAAGTTCCGCAGAAATGTTATGACACGTGAAGAACTGGAACAACATTGGGTGTCTGAGTACCGATCATGCCTAGGTTTCAGTTTCTACTTGGTCGTCATTTCAATCCTATTGTTCTTGGTCAACATCGCAGCACTTGCGGTTATTATCAGACAACCTTGGGTAGATCGGAAGTTGCGATCGGAACTGAGGAAAAAACTTTCTATGAGAAAATTCGTTCCACATTCGCCAGCTTCTAGCCTTGCCAAGAAACCAAAAGATGACGTTATATCTGTCTGATAGCTGTTACTGCTGCAATTTTTATTGTTATATATGTAGGAAGGGTACATTTAGCACAATGACAATTAATTGAAAGGAAGTTTTTATTAGAAAGATTGTTATTTATTGGAAGTAATGTCTGGTTATTTAACTTGGTTCACTACGTATATCGTGCATGTATGGAAGACTGCATAAACGCAACGATTAAATGATACTACATAAGAACCCCAAATCACAGAATAAAATCATCAAGTTAATGAGGTGGAAATTAAAATGAGATAATATAATATTCGTGCTTGCCTTTTAAAGTACTATACATGTATTTATGACACTAAGCCATGACAATTAATCTACACAACACGAAGAACAGATCCATTGCAATAAGAATGTAAATATTACCATAAGTTATACCGAGCTCCTGAACCCCATTAACATGCGTGGATACATAATAAGGACAACAAACACCATATTTCATCATCCACAAGTGACCAAATAAAATTATAATTAATGTACGGTTACATTAAATAAAATTGTAATTAATATACAATCACGGAAAACTTCGTTTGTTTACTCACAGAATTAAAGAATTTGTTTATACTTTTTAGTGACCTGCCCAGCCTTCTTTGATTCACTACATCAAAAATGTCTTGGTCTGATATTAATACTATAGCCTCAATCATTCTTTCTTTTCCTGTCTACATTTCTTTCACTTATATTTCAAAGCTTTTGGACAACAGAAACAATTTCCATGGGTTCTGACATTGTTGCCTCGTCACTGGCAATCTTTCTGCTATGGCATAATCAGGGACCAGTCTTTTCCAATGATGAATTAATGTTAGTCTTTCAACTTCACTCCAAGCCAAAGCAGTGTGAGATTTATTCATCAAACATAAGTTTCTTCTAAAAAATCCTCTAAGCGAATGGGTTGCTTGCAAGATTTTCCTCATGTGTTATGTGAATATGAGCCTGTTTCCCTTAGAAAGTTCTCCAAAAAAGCATCTCTCCCCTTAGACAGATAGCCCTTGTGTATTTTGCCAAATTCAAATAACCAAATCTCTTAACAGATCAGATTTTTCATCAACTGGTTTGATATTTTTTGGAAGATTCATGCGCGAATAAATCAAGAAACAGATTACCGGCCAAAACATAATCATAAGAGTTTGTTATGAAAATTTTCAGTTGAGTTCAGTTGGCAATGAATGAATGAAAACTGTCAAGAGTTATTTAACAAGATGAAGTCCTAAAAGTAACAAACAATGCAAAATTTTCAGATAATTATACTAGATTTGTTTGTACACAGCTAATTATTTATATATCATTATACAATATGTTTATTCACTTTTTATAACAATAGTTGCTGTCCTTACATTAGTGATAACTTTATGTCCCATATTCAACAGTTATTCAACTTAACAAACCTTCAAATGCATATGGTTAACAGACTAAGAATAAATATAAGGTAGCACTTAAATGTTTTCCAAGTAGAAACCATGCTTATTAGTGAGAATATTCCTTATTCTTGTCTCCATTCAAAAGCTTATGTTACTACCAATATACTTTCATTTTTAAAATACAATTAATTAAACCCATTTAATTTTACATCAATATTAAGTAATTAAGTTATCAGTTGTTTTTAATAATTAAAGGCTGTTAGAGTTTGAATAATCTTTATATTATCAACTAAAATTTAAATAAATGTTAGTATTCACATTAATGACATGGGTCAGCATGATGATTTTTGCAGAGCTTTCTGCATTTGAATGTTGGCAAGCTGAAGTCCTAGATCAGAACATACATAAAGTTGATTTCAGTACTTTGTTTTGAGTTAGTGATGAAAACCCTTTTTCATGTAGACATATGGAAGCAAACTGAGTTATAATTTTTAAGTCTGTCTGCACAGCTCATTACATTCCATTTTCACATGTAATAGGCTACCAATGAGAACAGCAAACAAAGATGAGAAGCACCACAGTCATAGAGCTCTTTTGTTGGGGGGGGGGGGAATTAAGATTGTACTGTCTATAGTGAGAAAGCCAATAATAAATTTCATAAAATGTCAGTCTTGGGAGAAAATGTGATAGATGATTGTCATTTGCAATTTTCAGAGACTGAGATTTCCAGGTATAAAGCAGTATGTTGATTTTTTTTTTCCAATCTAGGAGGACTACAAAGGCAGGCTTCAAGAACCACAGTTTGCGAAATGCTGATATAAGGTAGTGCAAAATTTTTCAAGGGACAAACTTCACAGTTTATACTTACTGTATTATATAAACTATGAGTTTTATTTGTAAGGAAGAAATTTATTTCACAACTTTATTAGTGCTCACCATATTTCCTCTATACAAATTCATCAGATCAATTTAGAGTATACACATTTCATAGCGGATGCATTAGTTTGTTGGTGTATGTTTCAACCACTTTTGGTGATAAATTTTCTGATTTCAATACTCAAAAGTTCATGGCCATATACCCAACACTTAGTTCTACACATGTTATGCTGAAAGGATTTCGGGGACTGTGCATGATAAAACCAATGATTAAAAGCAAATGAAACTTTTCAATGAGTAAAAGCAAAATGAAATCACGTTTTCTGTTTTTATTGTATGTTATGTATAAATGTCTACACTTGTTGCTTTTTTATTTTTTCAATCAAGTCTTATTTTCATTTTGTGTTATATCAAAACTTTCACAAATTTGTAATTTAGTTTGAATGGCAAACTTAACATTGTAATTATAATGCTACTGAATAAATCTAAAAATTCTGATTTGGGGATTTATTATTTACAGTTAGTTATTTGATTTTGAGTTTTTAACTACTTTTTTTACACTGAAAACTAAAATATACAAAATGCAAAACTTGCAAGAACATTAGAATCAGATTACTTTAATATTCATTGAAACTGAAATATATATTAGCCGAATTCTTTAAGATATGAATTAATAAACAAAAATAATGTTATTCTGCAATAAAATGGTTCAAATAAAACAAATGAGCTTTAAAAATCAGTTAACCTTAAAATGCTGATCCATCCATCAATTTTGAGGAACAGGTTGCTTTTATATCAAAATGACATATTTAGAGAAAACAAAGAATTTAATAAAAAGAAAATCTTTCCATCATACACAAATTATCAATCTATTAATTTAATTAGTTTTACAAGTACTATAAAATACAATACCTATATCAAATAAAAAAATAAATTTTAATAACTTTCATGACGGTCCAGGACTGATGACTGAGGCAGTTACGTAACTCATAAAAAATTTTCATCATGTAACTCAGAATCAATCTAAAGGCATTTTACTTTCATATTGAATGGATATCCTGCTGTTTCTGTGGCTTACATTTCAAAGACTTGCATCAATACCTGGGCATTACTTCGAAATTGAATGTTTCTGCCATTTAAATAGGTTATTGGTTGGGCTATAAGTTTTGCTGAATACCGTTCTTTGTTTAAATGAAATAATGAAATAAAAACTATCGCATCTAAAAAAAATGGCATCCATACAAAAGTACTTTAATTAGTAAAAAATTTGTAGCCAGAAAAACAGTGTGGAAAAAAAAAAGGTCTATTTACATTTATAAAAATAGGTCTCAGTGTTTTTTAAAGTTAAAAAGAACAAATGCATTCTTTTATTCCCTGGAACAAATAAGCTTCAGAAATATATATATATATATATATGTAAGTCACAAGTAGTTAATTCGGACACCCATAATCCAGAATGATCTATAATCCGGACCTCAAAGCTACAAACTTCTAAAGGTCTTACGCGCATGCGTCAATGTGACGCATGCGCGTAAGACATTTACGCGTGTGCGCAAAATACATTTACGAATGCATGTTTAATGTATAACGGACGATATAAGCTAAGCTAAAATTATCTAATACAGTTAATGTTGCAGATTGCGTTGTTCCTTAATCTTCGAATTGGATTCGGCTTATTATTTTTTGCAGACTGTTAGAGCAATTTTATAAAAGTAAGCTTGAACTTTCGATTATATTAAATAGAATTTCTGATATATATTTACTAATATGTAAAGGATCTACAAAGCGAAAGTATGTTTCGAAGTCCATTAAACAAAAAAGTGGAATTGCTGCAAAAAATGGATAAAGGCATATCATTTGTTTATCTAAACTTTGATTATCTTTAACGCTGCGGCGCACAATGAATTGGAAGTTGATCTGTCAGCACTATCCTTATCTTCAGGGCAGATGTTTTTATTTATTTGGCTTATAATTCCTTACTAAATGTAGTATTTCATCTCGATGTACTCCATCTTTGATATGATTTAAATCAAATTCCTCATCATTATAATTCGCTTCCGATAGCGAAGAAAGTAACAGAGGTTATTGAAAACGAAAAAAATTCGATTGACAAATTAGTCGGTATTCTCGACACAGCAATTATAGGACTTAAACAGTGGAACTTTATAACTGAACAAGAAATTATGTCTGTTTATAGAATTAAAGAGAATGTATTATCACATAAAAAAACAAAGCAACTTAAACAACTTACATTGAAAGAAATGTTTAATAGTAAACAAATAAATATTAAGCTTTTTTTTTGTGTAAATTTTGATACCCTTTAGATCAGAACTGTTCTTTATTTCATAAATTACGGTTTCATATTTTTAATTTTATAATTTCTGCATGCCATCTTACCAGATTTTAACTGATGATCTATAATCTGGAATCGCCGAGTCCGGATTAACGACTTTTAACTTTGTATATATATATATATATATATATATATCAGAGTGCAAGTTAGACAATTTTCTGAACACTTAAATTCAGAAATAACTCAAATGAAATAAGAAAGAGCCTAGAATGATTTCAAAGCTTTACATAAACTTCAGGGCAAATAAGGAGTTTAAGAACTTATGATGTAGTGCAATAAGATTACTTAGCTTTCAAAAATATTTAGATTGCAATATCTCACTCTAATTCTACAAGTATATACTTCACTTTCATTTCTAATTTTCTTAAAAACTTAGAAACTGTTATAGATGAAAATGGGTGAATACTTTTTTGTAAAATTTGAAGGAAAATATATATCCCCCCCATTTAATTTGCTGCATGTAGCAATTCATTTATCATTTCTAAGAAGCTTTCTTTGGTATTTTCCTTTCACTTAGCAAAAAATTATTCAGACAAAAAATCTCATTAAAATTGAGTGAAGAAAATTATTCTGAAATTAAATCATGACAAAGCTTTTAAAAAAATCTTATATATATATATATTTACAATATGTAAATTACTGATAACTAGCAATTTACATAATTCATAAATTTACAATCTCAAAACATAGAATGGTTTTAAAACAATACATATTGGCAAAACTAATAAACAAAAACTTAATTTGCCCTGAAATGCATAAATTTTACACCTACTACTGATAAAATGTTCTACTGAAATAAATCTGTAGTTTGACTTAAAATGCATGAAATTTCTCATCTACAAATTAAATGAATGCTGAGTACTAGCTTCACACACATATATGTAAATAAATAAAAATGCTGCTGTCATTTTTCTGATTTTTTTATTAAATTATACATGTTCCTTACAGTCATGCAATATATTTGCAAAATTTATTATACTTGTGTCTACTTTTAGACCATAATTAGTTTGTATTCATAAGGTCTAATATGGACAAAATATATATTGCCTACTTAAGATACAAATAGCACTTTATATGGCATATACAAAAATCATTTATTTACTGCTCTATTCAAAACAGAAGACCCTTGATTTAACAACCTCTTACTTAATGTCAGATTTACCACATGAAAAAATAAAACAGGTTTTGATTTACTAGATCACCTTCTCCCCTCCTTTCCAAAAGAATAGCAAAATTTGTTTAATACGAGAGATGAGCAATGAATTTAAACTTTGTTCACTTCTATATAGCCATTCCAGAGAGTACAGTAATTAATCAAGGTAGATGTTCAAACAGTTGGAATTGGTTTCGTATCCAAGACTTTATCGCTAAAAAAGCACAAGGAATTCAGATTCCACTCCCTGGGATATTGCCTGTCAAAAGTGGAATGAAACGTAGGTAGACACACCCTAAGCACTAAAAGCTTAAATTTAATTATGTAATTTTTCAATTATTTACACTTTGATCGTTTTCATCTTTTATGTATATAATTAAGACTTACGTGATTACAAATGCAAAATATTTGCCATTGCTATGTGTTCAAGGAAAAAAGAATTAAGAGAAATAAAAAAAAAAAAAAAAAAAAAAAAAAAAAGAGAAAGAAATTAGGAATTAAGAAAAAACTTGAATAATATTCATCGTAGAATGTATGGTCGAAAAGCAAGTGGTGAGAAGTTATAAGTTAATTAAAAAACTTATTGGAAAAGTGTCCAAGAATTTATACTAAATAATAATATTAGTTAAATACAGTACAAACTTGCATTAAAATACAGTATAGGCAATTGTTCTATGGTTGTAAAACAGATGAAAATGATGAAAGACAAAAATTAGGTGTAGTATATGAGTAGCTTGCTCAGCTATATTCAAGTGAGTGAGTGAGTGCACCGCTATGATGGCTTCCGACCACGGACATGAACCAAACGGAATTATATACCATCATGGCGGGGAAGACTCCAAAGTAACAAGGTTGAATATTACATATTAATAACAGTTTGACAACTGCAGACACTAAGCATTATTCTGGTTATCTGCTTTAAGTTCTGAACATTTGAAACATATTATTCATGGTTGTTTCTGCTTAGGCAGTGTCTTGAGATTTTCTCCATTTTATCAAGGGATACTCTGTTTTTGAGTGTGTTAGACGCCCACATTGCCCAGGCACAGTCCGCTGGTTTCTTCCCGTGCCAAGTTCTAGTATGCACACAATGGAAGTAATAATGGTCCGTTTTGCCTTCCTCTCCGCATTCGCAGAAAGGAGTATCCCCAAGTCTGAATTTGTTCAGGTATACTGGGAATGGTCCATGACCTGTCAAGAACTGTGTTAGGCTAGCACAGTGGGTCTTTATTTCCATGTTAACTTTTGGCAGCAAGCGAAATGTCCTTCGTCCTACCTCTGCCTCTGTCTATCTACTTTGCCAATTTTGTAGCAGACTTGTCAAAGTTGTTCGTTTAATATGAGACCAAGGAAGTTTAGTTGGTCTTTCTAATATATATGTGCAGTTGGCTGTCTGCTTGGCCAGTAGGTGAGTGGCTTCATTGCCTCGAACCCTTGTGTGAGCGGGAACCCATTTTGAAGTGGGTCTTTGAGAAATAGCATTGTCAGAAGCTGTTTCTGAATTCGATATACCAAAGGACTCCAGCTGTTTGACTTACGATAGCCGGCAGACTTGATGCTGAATCACTGAGTATGGAGAATTGACATGTGTTTGCATATCTAATTGCGGCACTGATAGCTAGAAGCTCTGCTTGGTATACCGAGTTGTTCAAGCCTAGTTTCCTTTTCCACTCGAATGTTACAACTCCATTTTCAAATCTACAGAAGGTGCTGCCCGTGCAGTTCTCAGTTTTGGAGCCATCTGTGAAAAGGTTATTACTTTTTCTCTGAATTGGTTGGTTGTTTATGCCGATACCGTCGGTAAGATTAAAAGCTGCTGGATGAAAGTTATTGCAGTTGTTTCGCTCCTCATAGTTCGAGTAGTGATAACTATGACCCCAGAGTGCGGAAGTTTGACCCAGCCTGGTAACCCTTACGACAGCTGCCTCCCTTTCTACTATCAAATCTAGGGGAGGAATTCCTGCCAGTTGTTGTAGGGCTAGTGTTGATGTGGTACGGTAGGCCCTGAAGTAAATACTTGAAGTAAAAGCTGTCTCTGAATAGAGAGCAGGGATCTTCTCATAATGAGAGGTAAGTTCAACACCCCAGATTGCTGCTCCGTAAGTTATTACTCTTTCTGTAATGGTTCTATGCCAAATTTTTAGTAGCATAGATAAGATACCCCATTTATGTGAAGTCATGCGTCTCATGTTGTTGCTTAGGATGCTAATTCGAGTCTTAAGATTCCTGACATGTGGCATCCAAGAAAGTCTGTTGTCGAATAATAGCCCAAGATATTTCAATTGGAGGAAACATTTTACTGGTATCCCATGGAATTTAATGCTTGGATTGCGTCTAAGCCGCCTGCTGCGTCCTATGAGCAAAGCTTTATAGTTTTCTCTGCCGAAATCTGAAGCTTATGCGCTCTGGAGCATTGGGCGAACACATCAAGACAGTACTGAGATCTCATTTCGAGGTTACTCCTTCCTGCCACAACTAGCATAAAATCGTCTGCATAGGCTATGATTCGAGCGTATTCTACGCTCTCGAACTGACGAAATGCCGAGTTTGCCACTATATTCCACAGGGTTGGTCCAAGGCATGACCCCTGTGGGCACCCTCTAAAGACGTTTTTGACATAATATTATTATTAGAGGTGTGCAGCTGTTAAAATCATCCGCTAAAAAAGTAGCTTAGCACATTTTAGAAAAGTGATGATAAACATGGCATTTGATTTTATTAATTGCAATTATGAGATATCTAAACAAACAGCAAAAAATGATATACTTCTTTGGAGAAAATATGTACACTGGGCAAGCATTTTCATTTTGAATACTATGCAACTAAAATTAATTTCAAGAATAGCAATATCAAGAAGCATTAATAACTACACAAGAGTAACTACATAAGCTAACCAAAATGTCTTTTATCCCTTAATTTTAATTATATAGAAATATGACCAGAAGGAAATTTTTACAGATGTACAGGCAATACTGTATTTTCAATGGTCAACATCACAGCAATCAGATATTTTTAATGTTAGGTTTTTCCTCCCCCAAAAGAAAACACAATAATAAAATATAATAATAATAATAATAATAAAAAACAGTTTATTTTCAAAAAAATAAATGGCAGTGTAGTAATTTGAAAACTTCAGACATTGTATAACATTTAAACACCAAACATCTGCTTTACAAAACTTCAGGGAAAAGTTGACATTTTATAAAAGAATTGCACATAACATGCATCATATTATTTACAACAATCTTAATTTTGTACAGCAGATATAAATGGTGAGATATTCACAAAGTCACCATTTACTGGATAGTCAAAATCCATTTGTTATTATGCTTCTAGTCGAAAATTTTAAATCAACTTTCTCACAAGATCATATTATTTACATTCAGGATGATACTTTTGAAGAAATTTGCAATTAATACTTAAAAAAACAACATCAAGGATTATATTTTTAATCAAATGAATTCAATTTGTTAATACTTATTGATGTTATTGAACAATTTTTGGTAATAATTTTACAATTCCCAATTTACATGACATTTATTATTCCCCACATTTAAAATTTTTTTTTAAATATCCAAATTATTTTTACAACAGTCAATGATAAGAAAAAATATAACAATCTAAAGATATTATAAATTACATAAAATCAGTCTAGATTACTTTCATTAAGGTACAACACACTTTCATCAATGGCAATTTCAAAACTTTTTGCAACCACCAGCAATTTTCAAAATGCGCAAGATTTTGTCAAAGTTGTCAAATTTATCACTAGAAACCCATCTACAAGACGTATGAAAATTTCATTCTAACACACACACACCTGCAGAATCTCCAGAATGTAATATGCGTGAACCTAGAAATATATCAAATGTTTAAAGCAAACGCTAACTTCAGTCAGACCTTAAAATATCAACGATGATCGAACTCTTCTTCGCTTTGATTTACGACTGTAGGACTTGCATCTTGATCTATAGAAACTCAGATCGTGAGTACAGTCTTTATCTAGCATTGTCTTATATTCTTGTGGATCACACAATCCCTATTTAAAGATAATATCAAAATATAGATATTGTAATACTGAATGCAGTAAAGTATAATGTATTTGAATTAGTAATATTATAGAGGCTGGTAAAAAAACTTCTCCGATGTATGAACCCCTAATGGCCAATCTCCTGAACCAATAGAAATGAAATTTCAGATACGATTTCAGATTTGAAGGTATGCATTCGAGATTCTGATGATTTAAAACAACAGAGACCTGAAAGTTATGGTTACAGGGAAGAAATTTCAAAATTTTCAAATAGAAACACCCTATTTTTCCTGCGCAGGTTTATCAGTGCATTGAAAAACCGTAATTGGAATTGGAATGATACATGTATGATGAAAATTGCCTGTATAAAACATTTGCAAAGAGCATTGAGAGCCTGCACACTGGAATTAGTTTTCAATGTGCCTCCCTTTGCAGATGATAAAAGATTGCATGTGGGAGACTGTTGACAATAATTATTAAAAGGAGGAATTTGCATAACTTCACGTTTTATGGCATCTTTCAATTCAGACCCAATCGCTTGGATTTGATGTGTACACTTTAAGAGCCATTCAGAGCGGAGTTTATCTGAGCTAATGGAGACATCTGACATAGTAGACTCATCTCCAAAACAAGTTTTTCCCCATAGAGCAGAGAGCTGAAAAATCTGAACTGCAGGTATAACTGAGCTAGAGCACAGATGAAACTGACTCTGTTAGCTCAGATAAACCACAGTCTGAACAGCACTTTAGATTTCAGATAATCCCGGGACAAGAAACATAATGGAGTGTGGTCGAGGGATCAAGGTTTCACGAAACTGCAAAATTACGGAAGTATATTCTATCTTGAAGCACTGTACACATTGAAAACTAGTAACTCCAATAAAGTTTGTCCCTCTTTTCTTTTGTACTGTCACTGGTCCGTTCACAATGCTCTTCTTTGTAAATGTTTCACGTCAGCAATTTGCATCATATGTGCATCGTTCTGACACCATTTATGATTTTTGAATTTACCAATCAAGTTTGTGCAAGAAAAAAGGGGTGTTGCCACTTTAAAATTTTGAAATTTTTTACATAACTGTAATCGTGAGAGTTCTAGTATTTCAAATCACCACAATCGTGAGTGCATATATTCAAATAATATCTAAAATTTCATTTCTATTTGTTAGGCAGATAGGCCGCTAGGGGTTCATATATCGGAAAAGTTTTTTATGACCACCCCGTATATAGATTATTTGAATAGAAACTCAATATATTTAATAGATAATTTGAATAGAAGCTCAAGTATATCTGAATATGACTAATATTACATATAACTTATGTATTGAATATGAGTAGTATTGAATACAAATAGACATATCCAGTATAATATACAAACAATTTCCAAGCAACTGGGGGTAAATAACAAGCCATTAAAAAAAAGTAAAGTTTGTTTACAATGGAACAACAGAAAAATTGGAGGTTAATAAAGACCATTTCAAGAAAGGTTATATATGTTTATTGGTGAATGATACAAAAATTAATATCATAAACCATATCAGGGTATACAAAACTGTCCAAAAATACAAAAAGAAAAGTACATTTAAGTGATGAACTCTGTGAACCAGAAAATTTAGTTTTTGAATACCTGGAATATAGATAGTTGGAATTTTACTGTATTTTTATTAATCTGCAGAAGTACATTTAAAAAATAATAAATAATCCATCTGGCTTAACAAAGCTAAAATGAACACAGAGAAAACAACAAAAATCTTGCTTAATTTTGGTACATTTAAATGAATGAAATATTTCATGCTTATTTCTCTTCTTTTAAGCAGTTTTCTTTAATTTGTTTAACTTTTAAAAGAAAGGCTGCAAAATATATCTTATGCCTTCAATTTTCAAATCTATTTTACAAGAAGAGTATAATTTTCATTGTTTACAATAAGATATTAAAATCTACACTCCTTTTAAATACCAGTAAAAATGATAATTTTTTCAAGTCATTAAATTCTTAGTCTAAAACAATCACATTTCCTCAAGAGTATAGCAGCTTAAAATAGTGAAAACTATTAAACTCCTATCTTAAACAGGTACTAAATTCTTTTTAGATTAAAAAATAATTGTGATTAATCTTAAATTTTCTTGTGTTTCTTCATAAAAGTAGAAATATATAGAATAATACATTTAATTACCTTAAAACTTGAATAAAAAGCTTTGTAACCCCCTTCTATGAGATATAATTCAGGATAATATAAAAATGGATAACAATCTTTGTTTATATCTCTGTCTTTTCCTCTCAAAAACCGGATCCTGGTAGGAAAAAGTAAGATTTCTTAACACATATAAATGTAAAGTCAAAAATAAAAATTTCACTTTATCATCATTATATTATCCATAACACAAGCTTTTACACAGCTATACAACTTTTACGAGAATCAGTAAAAGAGCTTGTTTTCATGGAAACCTCCACATTGCATTTTACAAGGATCTGTGTATAGTTCAAATAAATCTTTATTCCTGAGAAGTTTTCATAAACAACAAATAATCTTATACAAATACATGAATGAATAGAAATGATCTTAAATGAATAATAAATTATCTTAAATTTTAAGGCAATTAAAAAGAAAAAAATTCATAAATAAAAACAATGATAGAAAGAGTTCCAAATAAACGAATATCTGAGGAAAACAACTTTGTGCAGTTTAAAATAAAGTATTTCAGAATAAAAATTTACACAGATAAAGAGAAAAATATTGCTGAATGCAGATTTAATGGAATGAGTCTAATATTGTCAAAGCATCATTGTTACATAACTGCCAAACTTGAAAGACTAACAACTGAGAAATTCTGGCATAACAAACAGGGTGTTCCTCGGAGGTCTTTGTGTTATGCACCAGGAACATTTCAAAAGAACAAATTGACTTAAATTTGTTTTATATGATTCAGGTTATTCAACTGTTTATTTTTTTCTGATTCTGATATAAAACATACTAATATTAAAATTTAATTAGATATTCTGAACTTTACGATCTTTGATTAATTTCATTTTGTTATTTTCTTCTTTTATACAGATAAAATCAAGTAGGAAAAGACAGCTTTAACTAATTTAAGCACTTTTAAACAGATAAAATAAAATTAACAATTAATTGTACATATTATTGTGTGAATAAGTAATGTAAGGGGATATAATTTGCATAACTTAAGCATTATTTATTGCTAGGCAATAATTTCTTTAATAAAGGCTAAGAATTAAAATCTAATAAGTTGGAAAACAAAACAAACTGGGAGTCCCTGATAAAACTGGTACAGTTGACAGCCATGTTGTTATAACAAATAAAGCAAAAGTTACAGTGTTTTATATGGAAGTTGAAATATGAGGCAGAATGAAGAAATGCGGGGCTTGGAATAAGTTTTTCTACACCTCTGAATGAAGTAGAAGCTACATCATTAACCAGATTGTTATGCAAAAAGATCCCCGAAACTCCTTAAGAAACTCAAATCAAAACAAAATATAATCAACAACTTTGGCTTCCAAGAAATTAAAATTTTGGTTTTTACCCCAAGTATAGTAAAGCAGTCACAAAGACCCCTTACTTTATATAAATAATGTGTTCTTTCCCCCTGAATTTTAAAGAGACTGCAGATTTTGTCTTATATAGGCAAGATCAGATTTACAAGGAATTTTATAAAGGGTGTTATGTTACGTAAGGCGTTACGTTCGAACAATGGCTAGCTCAGAAGGGATTCGTAAGTCATCTACCCGATGAATTAACAGCAATCTTGTCATAAATGGAGTACTTCATTGAAACTTAAGCAAAAAGATTTATTTACACATAAAGACAAGTTAAAAGAATATGAAATATTTATCTAGCTACAATATCTATCTAGCCACATCATGCAAACATCGTTCTTAGCTAACTAAACCGGAACTGTTCGTTTTCCTCTGGCGTCCCATGACGTCAGTCTCTATCTGGCTTTTGATTCGTTGGCTTAGTGATGCCATTCCCAACATCCTCCCCCCTTTGAGTTGCTGGATAGCTACTCAAAACATTCAAGTCTATCAAGTTCAGTCTAAGTGGCATCTTAACAGTTCTACCAGCTCGTGTCTTTATAGTCTTAGAACTGTCACATACATCGGAAACATCAGTGGGAGTCCGGAGATCGGGGTGACCCAGAAATTTCTGAATGATGAGAGGTACTCATGTCGTCTCCACGATGAGAATCTGAAGACTTTACAGCAGATTGATGTTTTTGAGGATCACTTGGATGACATGAACCTGACAAATCATCATCTTGGATTTCTAGGGGAAACACTCGTTGTATCGGACGTACTAAATTTGTTAGTTTGCGTTCTTAATCTAACTGTTCTCACTTTACCGTCCTTTCCTGGAATCAGTTCCGTAACCCTGGCTAAAGGCCAATTCAATCTCTTTTTGATATCATCTCCTATCAACACAACGTCATTCACTCGAATATTTGGAAAGTGTGAATTTTGCTGTCGTTTCTGAATAAGTAGTCCTAAATATTCCTTTCGAAAACGTACTCGGAGATCTTCCATTAATTTTGCACGAAATCTGATTCTTTTCCTGAGATGATTGGTGTCTACTGTGTCTATATCAGTTACATCTAAATTGGATCTATCGGTCAGAAACATGGCAGGTGTAAGTGGAACTAAGTCTTCTGTATCTTCGGATAAATATGTCAAGGGGTCGCGAATTTACTACCCTTTCACATTCGCACATAACTGTTTCCAGTTCTTCATAGGTAAGAACAGCTCTGCCCAATGTTCTCCTAAGGAGTTCTTTGACTACTCGAACAAGTCTTTCCCACCATCCGCCCCACCAGGCAGCAGTGGGGGGAATGAATTTCCATTCGATCTTCTGTATTTCTGTTTGTCGAGTTATTTACTTTTACTCCAATCAATTTCTAAAAAATTATTATAAGCTCCCCTAAAGTTTGTACCGTTGTCTGTATAAACCACTCTAGGTCTTCCTCTTCTAGCAACAAAACGTCTAAATGATAACAGAAAAGCATCAGTGGAAAGCGATGTTATTAACTCTAAATGAATTGCTCTATAAAGAGCACACGTGTAGAGAACCATCCATACTTTGTCCCCACGTTTTACAAATAGGGGACCTGCCTAAGTCAATACCAACTACTTCGAAAGCTGCAGCATTTTCCACTCTATCAGCAGGTAAGGAAACTGGTTCAGTGATGAGAGATTTAGTTTTGTATCGTCGACATTTAATACAGTCCTTCAGAACACTACGTATCGCTCTTCTTCCTCTTGTAATCCAGTACTTTTCACGCAATATGCTTAGTAATATCTGGGTTCCAGCATGACAGTTTTCTCGGTGAAAATATTCAATCAGTCTTTGAGTAAAGATACATTTATCAGGAAGAAGAATAGGTGAAATGAAGAAAGGCTTATCTATGCGTTCAGTAATTCGAGTTTTAACTCTGATAATTCCGTTCACATCTTTGAAAACACACAAGTTCCGAAAGAGGTTTCACTAGGAAAAAATTGAGCTTGCACATTACGAATAAGCAGAATTTCAGCATTTTCAATCTCCTGCGTTAGAAGTTCTCCCCCCCCCGTCTAGTATCATGATGCGATCTTACATTACTGATAAATCTCAATATCCATGCAACCATTCTAACTATTGAATGGAAATTTGAGAATTTAATGGCATACCACGGGACTCTCTCTTCCGACAAATTAATATTACATAACCTAACCTTTCTCCTTTCAAGTGTTATTTCGGGTGTTTCCGTTATCAATATTTCGGTGTCAGGCCAGTTGTCTCTTGCTTGCAACAACCATGCCGGGCCTTTCCACCAGCAGGATTCTAACAATTTCTTAGGGGAACACCCTCGCGAAATCAGATCAGCGGGATTCATTTTCCCTGGCACATGTCGCCATTCATTATTAGGAAACAGATTATTTATTTCTTTTACTCTGTTCGAGACAAAAACTGTCCAATCACCACGTTCTTTTAACCAGTATAAAGCTACCCTAGAGTCGCTCCAAAATATTGTTTTAATCTCATGGGCATTTAAAGCCTGCTTCACTGAATATGCCCAACCTGGCACCAATGCAGCAAGCCATTAACTCTAACCTAGGGATCGTTACTTTCTTCAAAGGTGCAACTCTGGTTTTTGCTATAACAAAGTAAATTTTTACCCCTTGAGAGGTTCTCGTTCTAAAAAAAAATACAGGTGGCATATGCCTCTTTGCACGCATCTACGAAAACATGCATCTCAGTGGAATCATTTATTTCAACATAACGTGAGATTTCGATATCTCTTAATGCATCTATTTCTCTAAACCATCTTTTAAAAGACATTTGAATACTATCTGGTAAGGGAGTATCCCACTTTAGATTTAAATTCCACGTTTCCTGCAGTAAAAGCTTAGGTGGTAAGATTGCAGGACTCAACAGACCTATTGGATCAAATATTTTGTGAACTGTAGCTAAAATGATTCTCTTAGTAAAATTCTGATCTTCACTTACAAGATTAAAGTTTAAATTACACTTAAGAGTGTCCTTATCAAGATCCCACAAAATTCCCAATACTTTCGTGACACCAGTACTATTAGAAACATACTTACATTTTACATTACTCTCCCAGTTTCTTAAATTAAAGCAACCCCGTGACAAAATATCTTTTGCATTTACAATAAAATCTTCCTGCTCCTCAATATTTGCAACACCAGAAACACAATTATCTACGTAAAAAGAATGTTTCAGTTTTTGTGCTATAGCATCAAATTCAGATGGTACATTATCTAATAAATGTGTAATTGAGGCTGCCAATAAAAATGGACTCGACTTTAACCCAAATACTACTCTGCGATGTCGGTAAACAATCTGTTCACTCTCGGACGGATAAAAAAACCGCAAGAAATCTCTATGTTGAGGGGCTATACTTAACATCAGAAATGCTTTCTCAATATCTGAAGATAATCCTATTGGATGAATTCGAAACCTATCAAGTATCTCTGGAATTATTTCTAGTAAGTTCGGACCCTTATACAAAAGGTCATTCAAAGAGCATTTACCACTTTCTCGGGCTGACGCGTCAAAGACAGGTCTGATTTTTGTAGTGGTACTGTCCTTAATTACTGGCCGATGAGGTAAAAAATGTCCCGTCTCAATATTATCAGTTACCTTTTCAATTATATTCAATTTTTCCCATTCCCGGAAAATCGTAGTATATTCTTCTAAAAATGCTTTATCTTGTGCTCGCTGGCACATCCTTTTATGCCGCTTCCAAGTTAAATCTTTATTTGTCGGCAAATCGGCCAC